TACTAGTATTATATATGTATTATATATATATATATATATATATATATATATATATATATTATTAGTATAGTATTAAAATGACCTAAAGCTGAAATAAAAATAAAACAATTAAAAAAAATGAAAATGACAGAAGCACATATAACAAATGTACTAAAAATTAAATTAAAATTCAAACTGAAAAAAGCTTCTTTAAAATATGAATAAAAACTCTATTTTACTAACTTTTATATTACTAAAATAGCACTAATAATGTTGCATGCAATAATGTCTACATGGAATAAATTATTTTAAATATATTTTTCATGATTTAAACTGTAATTGTAAGTAATTAATTTCAATAGTCAGATTCTCTGAATGAACCAGCATTTTCCTAGTATTTGATGTCACGAGAGTGTATTGTGAGCATGTGCATGTGTGTGTTCCTGAAGAAGGCACCGAATTACCAGCCATCTCTGTTGATGAGATTACAAGCTTTTCTGGAAAATGGCAGTTGTGTATACAGGTGTCCCGAACCAATGCAAGAGCACTTCGGCCGTAATCTCCTGGAAGTCCATGCCACCTGCCATATCCTCCCCTTCTGAATGACCTCTCATATAGCAGTCTTCACAGCTATTTGTTTATAAATGTTCATTTATTATAATGGCAAGACAAAAAACATGTACACTGAAATTAAGAACACAACAGAACATAATTTAAAAACATTTAGTACATATTCTGAGGAAAATGTGTCAACCATTTGGATAAAGGCCCTCACGTATCAAAAGTCAGCTCAAAATAAGTCTTAGTTTTTTCTCCTCTTCAGACGAGAGTCCATTAATCCGTGAAGGTTCTGCTGTTCCAGCTTTCTCACCCTCTGACGCAGAGCCTCGATCTCTTTGTTTTTCTCCTCCTGAATGAACTGGAGCTTCTGGAGACACAAACAGAAACGATTCAATATAGAGGTGTGATCAGAAACCCTGCTTTCCTCAATGACATGAGGTGTTTTGATGAGTGCTGCAGTACAAGTCACTCTTTTAAAGATATTCTGTGGATGAGGAGCAGAAGATTGTGTCTGTGGCTGACTCTTTGTGGACATGCTCTGGGCCCTTGCAAGCTTAGCGCCGAACTACAAAAGATAAAACTTTTTTTTTACAGCCATAAAACTGCAAAACAAACATAAAATTAAAAGTATTAAGAAAAATAATTGTACCTTCAACAAATGAAGAAACCCATAGTGTATTAAAACTTATTAAAGTTTCATTTATACACAAAACAACTAGGTTTTCAAATTAAATTCTACCTCCATTTGAAGTTTAATGATTTGGCTTTGCATTTCTTTCTCCTTCCCTCTCATCTGCCTTCTCATCTCCTCCAAAGCGCATTAATTTCTCTCATGAGCCACTTTCAGTTCAGTATCTTTAGCATCCACTTTGAAAACAAAATGGAAAATGTTTTCTTTTTGAATGTGTAATACTGCAGAATGTTTAACAGCATCCATTCCAGATAGCACACGTACGTCTACAAGATGTTTGTTAAAGATTGCTTAATCTGGAAAGCATCTGCTGTGTACAAACATCTGATAGACGTCTCTAAGATGTCAATTTTACATATATTCTATCTAAATCTTAAACATCTTTAAGACATTTTCTAAACGTCTATTTGACACCTGATAGGAAACGTCCTATAGACGTATTGCAGATGAGCAAAAACTCTAAATAATACATCTTGCAGATGTAAATGCAATGTCACATAGACGTATCCATGATGTATGTGTGCTATCAGGGATATGGCATAGTAGCTATAATGGGGGGGGGGAAGGGGGGAGAAAATGATG